AAAAAAAAAAAAAAAGAAAGAAAAAGAAAGTACCAAAGATTACTGGCAAACCCCAGGAGCTGACAGGAGGCAAGGAAGGGTCCTTCTTTCAAGCTGGCAGCCAGGAAGGATCTGGCCCTGATATTTGGGGCTCGTCTTTAGAGCTGAGAGAGAATGTTTCTGCTGCGTGAAGGCCCCCGGTTTATGATGCACTGTTACGGCATCGTTGTCTTGGACACTGACAGGCAGAGTGATGCGTATCGCCCAGTGCCCTTTATACCAAGTTTGAAAACCCGGAAAACTAGGCCCGTCCCGGAGCCAGCAGGTGGCATGGTGGGTAAGGTGCTGGACTAACGCATGGCAGATGGTCATTCAAGTCCTGGACTTGGAGGCTTGCTTTCTGACTTTCCCTCTCTCTGTGTCTCTCTCTGGTGAGCGTACATACAAATTTTTTTTTTTTTGGAGAGGTTTTTGCTATAGGGTGCGTGCGCTCGCCAGACAGACAGAGTGAGACAGAGAGACAGAAAGCGAGAAATCACCCCCCAGGGGGGATGGCCACACCGTAATCCTTTCTCCTCCATTCTCCTCTTGGGATCTTGGGCACGCACGCACACGTACCCAGCATGAGTTTAAGCCACTGGGTCCGGGATGCAAACCGCAGTCGACTACGTGGGAGTCCAGCGACATAGCCATTACGCTAACTGCTGGTCCCGTACATGCAAATTTAAAATAATACATAAAGTTGGGGCTGGCAGGTGGCGTAGTGGTTCCCTCATGGCCAATCACAGTTCAAGTCTTGGACCTGGCGACTTGCTCTCTTACTCTGTCTCTCTCTCTCTCTCTCCCCTTCTTGTCAAATTAAAAAGAAATAATAATAATAACAGTTAAAACACATAAGTATTAGAAAATACATGAAATAATAAATAAAATTAAATAAAGAATTCTTTAAAAAAAATAAAAGGTGATTTCTCACTTTCTGTCTCTCTAGCGAGCACACATGCCGTACAACAAAAATCTCTCAAAGAAAAAGAAAAGAAAAAAGAAAAACAATGAATAAACAAAAACTCAACCTATCAGTTAAAAATATCACAGCTGGCTCCACGGTGTAGCAATGAAGCCCTCTTCATGGGGGGCCAGATGCCCTACGGCTGACCGGTTTGAATTCTGACCCTGGTGGCTCAAAAAACACAGTGTGTGTGTGTGTGTGTGTGTGTGTCCAAAATCCTGATGGGATAGAGAACGGAGAAGAGATTGGCATGACCATGCCCCACCCATTTCGGGGGTGCTTTCTCCTTCTTCCTCCCTCTCTCTGGTGAATGCATTTCATTGCATTCTAGCAATTGAAATGGAAGAGAGAAAGAAAGGAAGGAGGGAGAAAGGGAGAGGAAAAAAGAAAAGGAAGGAAAGGAAAACCAAACCTAGAGTGAAATACCACTTCATACGTACTAGGATGGCTTTAATAAAACCCGACAACAGCAAGTGTTGGCAAGGTGTGGGCTGTTGGGACCCTCACACACTGATGATGGGAACGTAATATGGTGTACCTGCTTTGGAAAATCATTTAGCAGCT